TAATAAAAACTATAATGACCCATAGTTAGCATTGTTATTATGATATATTTAATTCATTCAAAGAGATGAAATTTTAAAAGAATGACATAGTTCATTTTTTATTGTTTTCATATTATATTATATTAATTTTTTCATTTATTGGTTTTTTTCTATAGTTCGTCAAGAAATGTTAGTTCCCCCCATAGTAGTTTGAATATGTATAAAATTTATTTGATGAATTATGTACTTCAACGATTGTAACTTTTTCAATTCTTTGCAACATAATATATGAGTAATACAAATAATAAGCATGACTATATTTTTATTGTCGCCTTTTTTTGTTTCTTCATGTAATTTTCTAAGTTCCATTCTTTCAAGAATTAAACGAGCTTATGATGAAAGCACGTATCTATTAGTCATTATATCTCTTATTATATATTGATGAACTGATAATGTCACAGTAAAGCTGAGTCAAACTTAAAGAAAGTAAAAGACAGAATGTTTNTTTCGATGTCTTTCAGCGTTTCGAATAGTTGAAGAAAGAGAAAGATTTCTTCTTATTTGAAACTCTTTTAAAATAAGAGAAAAAATATTTTACTTTTGTCCTCGAAACAATTGATTTGAAGACACATCGAATTAAGTTTTTTTGTTTTTTTTTTTCTGTTGGTAGGAAATATAAAATGGAATTGTCAAATGATGTATATCTTGTCGATAAATATCAAAGACGGTCAATAAGTACATTGAATTATTGTCAAGATAATATTTGTATTGATCATTTAAAAGAACATGTTGAACAATGTAAACTTGAACCATTATGCATAGCCAATGATATTGATCAAGTATCTGATCGTCTTAACAAATTTATAATAGATGAATCAAAATTTGTAAAAAGTTTGGAAAAATGGCGTTGTGAAGCTCATGAAATAATTGATAAATTCTGTAAATTAAAACATGATGAATATATATTAATAATAAAAGAAGAAATTGAACAATCCCGAGAAAGAATATCTTCATTAAGTTGTGATCATGATGCATCTGAAGACTATATTGATTGGGTTAAATATACAATACAATCAATAAATGATCAACTTGATCAACTTGAACAAGTTCAACCAAAATTTTCTCCATTAAAAATTGAAAAATCGTTAATTGATATTCCATCAATAATATCTGAATTAAGTAGAGATGATCCATCTCCATTAAAAGATCTTTTTTCTAGTTCATTATCATCGAATGAATTAAATTCTCAAATTTTATCATTATCATTATCAACATCAAATTTCAAATTAAATCAATTTGAAAATAATT